TTCCGGGGGCCCGGGCCCTCCGTCTGCCACCTCTTGAACACCCCAGAGAGGCACAGAGCCGCATCCTTTGAAATGAGGGCTGTCCCGGCGTCTGTGTCCCTCAGCTCCGGGCTGGCCCGCCCTGCCTGCTGCCCACAACCCGTACATGGGAACAAGTGTCAGGACCACCCCCCCCACCCCGCCCCGCCGACAAAGGCTCTGGCTCCTTCATCCTCCCTCCTCGTCTCCCCCTCTGGGCAGGTGCTGCACGACTGCCAGCGGTACCGGAGCAACATCCGGGAGATCGGAGACTTGTGGGTAGGTGCGGGGAGCGGGCATGGTGGCCTTAGCGCCTCGCCAGCAACACCACGTGGAAAGTCCACCGCCATCCTGCCTGGCACACAGGCCCGAGAGGGGAACAGAGCACCTGCAGTGGTGCCCCCCCTCCTCCCAGCACAGTTAGAGCCGTGTTCAGTGGGGCCATGGCACAGGCGATGAGCATCAGTAAATGAAATTGAGCCTTGCTTTTAAGGCCTGGCGCAGAAGTCCCAAACACATCCCTAACGGGCCCTCCGGCTCCAGAAATCAGCAGCCCTTCAATCCCTGTGAGCTCACTACCCCTCCCTGAGTCTGAGTAAGTGGTGCAGACTCTGAGCCCCCAAGACCGGCAGCTTTTGAAGCTTGGAAGTCTGCATTTTCAGCAGGCTCTCCAGAAGCGTCTCATCCACAGTGAAGTCTCAGAGCCCCAGGAGCTTGTATTCTAGATCCACTCCACGACCCTCAGGAATTAGGGGCGTCCCCTGGGTGGAGAGAGGGCTTCTGGCCTTATCTGTCCTCTGGGAGCACTGCTGGGGCCCCAGCAGCTGGGGTGGGGGCCAGGTGGCCTCTGGGAGCTGACCGGCTTGCAGAGGGGACGCCCCTTAGAGTAAGGAAGGTGGCGTCCCTGGTGCCATCTGCAGATGTGGGCCCAGTGGGCGTGGCCGCAGGGGACATGGTGTCTGGAGGCGGCTGCGGGGAGGATGTGTTCACGCGCCCGTCGGAACGTACCTCCCCAGCCCCCACCAGCATTTCAGTAGAGCGTCCCACCTCAGAACTGGCCTCTTGCCCTGGACGAGGAGCTCTCTTGTCCCGAGAGTCTCTCTGGCAAGAGTGAGAAGAAGAGAGCGATGGGCAGAGAGGGGGCTGGCAGAGGCCCTTGGGAAAGGAGGTTGGCCACCTCTGGTGGGTTGAGCAATGGTTGTTGAATGAATCAGTGACAGCGTGGGAGGCTGAAGGATTGACACCCTGCTCATCATCTTGCGTCTTCCGGCCTCGCCTTCCTTGTTTGCTGCGCGGGGTTCCTGGGCAAGCTCACGGGCAGTGTGTCCTTACCCAGGGCCCTTTCTCCACAGGGCCATTTGCATGACCGATATGGGCAGCTGGTGAATATTTACACCAAACTCTTGCTGACCAAGATCTCCTTCCACCTCAAGGTAGTTTCCTCGGGGGAATCGTGGGGCTGGTGGGACCCTGGGCTCTTCCCTCCAAGATGTCTCAGAGGGTGGGATCTGTCCTATCCCCACCGGACCCAAGGGGGAGCTTGGGACAAACCGCAGGGAAGTCAGAAGGCCCTGAGGCGTTTCCCAGCGCGGGGGAGGTGGTCTTAGCCCCGCCCTCAGCCCCGGGTGGACCTCCCATCCTCGGTCTTGGTCTCTGTAGTCACCGCCTGCGCAGGTGGCGGCTCCACAGGCTAGGGGGCTCCTCCGGCCCCTTCCCGCCCTCGAAGGGTAGAAGCAGTGCTGGGCCAGAGCTGAGAGGGGCCGCGCTTGAGTGGGGGGTCCTCTCCGCAGCACCCCGCGTTCCCTCCGGGCCTGGAGGTGACAGACGAGGTGTTGGAGAAGGCCGCTGGGACCGATGTCAACAACGTGTGAGTCCCCCGGTTCCCCGTCTGTTCCTGCAGCGTTCCTCACCCAGGCTCCCACTGGGGGCCGTGCTCTGTCTGGGGCTGGAGGTCGTCACGTGCCCAGGAGCTGTGGCTAAAGCTAAAGGGATGGGGCTTACTTTGGAGCTGGGCATTTTGGCTGAAGGACTGCCGTCTGTGCATCCGTGCAAAGGCGTGTGCGTGGACTGTGCTCCCCCTCCCGCCTGGGGGTTCTCGCAGGGCCATGCCCCGCACCCCTCCCGCTCACCTCTCCCTCCTCCTCCTTCCCCCGTAGCTTCCAGCTCACCGTGGAGATGTTCGATTACATGGACTGTGCGCTGAAGCTCTCTGAATCAGGTGAGCCAGCCGAGGGGCTGACCCGGGGCCTGCTGCCTCTGGGGGCCAGCCATTCTCGAAGACACCTGCCCCCTGGGACCACACTCCCACCAGGAGCAGGTCACGGGGCCTCCAGGTGCCCCCAGAGCATGGGAAGGAGAGGCCTTTACTGCCCCTGCAGGACGCCAGGCAGGCGGTACGTCCAGGGAACAGTCTCGGCCGAAGGAAACCCACTCTGGCACCAAGGCGCGGGGTGGGGGGTTGCCGGGGGGTGCCAGGAGCCACCGCTTCAGGTTCCCGATCCACCTCCCAGCCGAGCCTGCCCCAAGGCAGTTGGTTTCGACCTTCTTGCCCGTTCTCTGCTGTAAAAGGCCTCTGAGTCAGGTCAGATTTCCCAGCCCAGGAATGCGGCAGCCGTTGAACAGGAAATCTCAGGGGGCTCACCCTCTTGGGGTTGCGGAGGTGATTGTTTTCAGTGGCAGCTTCAGAACAACTTGTGGGTGACTCGATGCTCTCTCGCTCTCCACCGGAGAGTGAGAGGCAAATGCTTTTTTAATGGAAAACCAGGAATGAGGAAGAGGTGCCTGGGCATCCTCCTGGCGCCGGGGTCTGGACCCTGAGGCTGGGTGAGTCTGGGGGCAGCTGTGCTGCAGAGATGGGCCTCTCCCCAGTCGCCACGATGGGAGGCGGAGAAAGCCCACAGCCAGTGCCCACACCCCCTGTGCCAGCATCTCCCTGAGAGTGTGAGGGGAGTGGGCGTTCCCCCGCCCCGAGGTTCGTACGTAACAGCCGCAAATGGGAAATGTCCTGAATGCCCTTCAGCTGAGAAATGGCTGCATTGTGTTTTAAAATGCAAAATAGTATTGTGTGTATTTTAATTGTTTACAAGGAAAATGTACTTGATGTGACATGTAATTAAGTTTTAAGTGGGTGAGGGACAGCACTTGGCGCCTTCCTCCTCGTCCCTTCCCTCCCAGGCGTCCTTGTGTCACTGTGGAGGTTTGCAGATCGCCCCACCCCGGGCAAGGTGAGAGTAGGCCCGGGTTGGGGGCCACCCATCTGAAACCGTGTCCCACGTGGGCCGCCCTGGGTGTCACGTGCTCATTTCTCTCCTTGCCCCAGAGAGCAAGCCCGTGGGGGGTGGCAGTATGTCTGTCTCTTGCCCTCCTACTTAGTCCGTCGGATGAAAGGCTGATTCTCAAGGTCAGGGGAGATTGACCCCGAATGCAAGTGAGGTTTTGGGGTCCCTTGGGGTTTGCAGAACCGCGTCCTGAGCCCGCTGCTGTGAGACTGACCAAGCCCGGGCCTGTGTCCCCATCTGCAGAACCAGGCCTTGGGGCTGCACAGCCTTAGCCCTCTGTCCTTCCCTAAGATTCAGAGTGAGCTAGAAGCCCATGGGTACAGGGCTGTTGAAGTCACCCTGTCTCTCCAGCTCTGCGTCCTGGGCCCACTGCCTGGAAGCTCTCCAGAGACCCTGGCCGAGCTGAGCTGCATTTCATTTGCCCCCCCACCTTGCTGTCACCCTAGTTTGTGGGAGCGCTGGGCCTTGGTCCTCAGCAGCTTCAGTGCACAGGGTCCTTCCTCGCCTAGAGGAGCATGTTGGTGTCCGAGGGCCTGGGGTAGAGTCCCACCGCCTGGCTGGGACTGGTAAAGCCAGTTACCCAGGCCATTGCCCCGTCTCCAAACCCAGCTGTCTAGGTAGCTTGTGACGGTGTCGTGAGATGATGGTCAGGGCCAGCGCTCAGCCGCTGTCCTCACTGTGGTCGTCACTATGCCTGTAAGCAGAGTGGGGTCTGCTGCTGCGTCTCCCGGCTCCGCGTGCTCAGGCTCCTCCCGCCCCGCCTTTTTTATTTTTATTTTTTACAGTTTTCCGGCAGCTCAACACGGCCATTGCCGTGTCCCAGATGTCCTCGGGCCAGTGCCGCCTGGCCCCCCTCATCCAGGTCATCCAGGACTGCAGCCACCTCTATCACTACACAGTCAAGCTCATGTTCAAGCTGCACTCCTGTGAGTCCCGCTGCCCCCAGCCCTGCCGGCCTCGGCCCTGAGGGTCAGCCGAAGCCCCAGAGGGCTGTGCTGATAGACTGTATCAGGGATGGGAATCAAGCAGTCTTTAAGATATTTATTAATTAAACATAACAGTAGTAAACTCACTGCCCACTAACATAACATACTTGTTATTAAAAAAAAAAATCACTATTTTCCAAAACAAAGATTTAGTGGGAAGAGCCATGCAGTTTTACGTGTTTGCAGTTCTCTTAACCGCCTGGCCTCAGAGGCGGCAGCGGGGTGCTCACTGGGCTGGCGGGGAAGGCTGGGGGAGGCACGTGGTGGCTCCTTAGTGCTCAGAAAGGGTCTGGGCTGCTGGCTGGGGTCTGTGAGCTGCTCCAGTGTCAACCTTGGGCAAACTCGAGTGAGAGCTGGAGTGAGACCTGACACGTGCAGTGCGCTGTGGTCAGGGTTCTGCCGGTCCCACTCACCGGTTCCTTCCCTCACTCAGTCAAGAGCTGAACTCCTCACAGGGGGTTCTTTGGGCCCTCCTAATGGTGGGTGGGACACAGCCAGGTGGCAGGTAATCTGTCTAATCCATGACGGTTTCTAGAACGTGGAGGAGCAGGGAGGGGGAGGGGAGGGAACGGATCTGAAGTCTCGGGCACAGAGCAGTGAGCGAGGAGGGAGTCCCCTTACATCTCCCTGCGTCCAGGCCTCCCAGCGGACACCCTGCAAGGCCACCGGGACCGGTTCCATGAGCAGTTTCACAGGTACCAGCCTGGGCGGGGTGGAGGGTGGCGGCGTGTACTGGGGGTACCAGCCTGGGGCCTGGCTCCTCTGACCTCCCGCCTCTGTCCCTGCAGCCTCAGAAACTTCTTTCGCAGAGCCTCGGACATGCTCTACTTTAAGCGGCTCATCCAGATCCCCCGGCTGCCCGAGGTACCTGTGCCCTCCAGAGGCCGCCAGCCTGCAGCCCTGTGGCTGCCCTGGGCTCTGGGCTTGAGGACTGCGGCCGCCTGGCTGGGCCCCTTGCGGGGCCTCGTGTGGGCTGTGGGAGTGGCAGAGGGAGGGCCTTCTGCTGGGGGGAGCACTGGGTCGCTTTCACCCGCTGCCCCCTCAGGGACCCCCCAACTTCCTGCGGGCCTCGGCGCTGGCCGAGCACATCAAGCCGGTGGTGGTGATCCCCGAGGAGGCCCCCGAAGACGAGGAGCCCGAGAACCTCATCGAGATCGGCTCGGGGCCCCCCGCCGCGGAACCAGCGGTGAGCCACCCCCTCCTCGCTGGGGGCACTGGGGGAGGCTGGGCCTCCCTCCTGGCCTCGGGGAGTGGGGGCGGAGGTCACCGTGCTTTGCCGTGGCAGGTGGTGGCTGACCTCTTCGAGCAGACATTTGGACCCCCCAATGGCTCCATGAAGGACGACAGGTGAGGTCCTGGGGAGCCCACAATCGTGGGAAACAGCCTTCCGGGAACTGTGATCCCGAAAGATCTTGGCTGGGGACACAGACCTGAGATGCTCAAACCCCGAGAGGGTGCTGATGAGAGGACCAGTGGCCGTGCTCGGGTGCCCTGATCGTCCCGGTTGAGTGAACTTGAACGCCGGGACCACACGGGCTGGGGAAGACCCCGCCTGACCTCTGTCCCCAGGGACCTCCAGATGGAGACCTTGAAGAGGGAGGTGGAGACGCTCCGCACGGAGCTGGACAAGATCCAGCTGGAGGTGAGGGGCGCGGGCGGCAGCGCAGGGGTGGGTGGCTGCCCCGCGCAGGGGACCTACACCCCACCCTCCCGCCGCCCAGGCGCAGCGGTACATGGCGCAGCTGAAGGGCCAGGTGAATGCGCTGGAGGCCGAGCTGGAGGAGCAGCGCAAGCAGAAGCAGAAGGCCCTGGTGGACAACGAGCAGCTGCGCCACGAGGTGGCCCGGCTGCGCACCGCCCAGCTGGAGGGCGAGCGCCACCAGGGGCTGCGAGAGGAGGCGGAGAGTGCGTGGGCAGGGCGGCGGGGGCCGGGGGGGGGCCACCACCGGGCTGGGGGGCACGGCCGCAGCCTCCGCCTCCCCCGCAGAGAAGGCCAGCGCCACCGAGGCGCGCTACAACAAGCTGAAGGAAAAGCACAGCGAGCTCATCACCACGCACGCCGAGCTGCTCCGGAAGGTAGGCCCGGGGGGCGTGGACGGGGGCCGGGGGGAGGAGGGGGCCCCCGAGCGCAGCCCAGCTGAGCCTGTCCCTGGTCCCCACCGGTTCAGAACGCAGACACGGCCAAGCAGCTGACGGTGACACAGCAGAGCCAGGAGGAAGTGGCGCGAGTGAAGGAGCAGCTGGCCTTCCAGGTGGAGCAGGTGAAACGGGAGTCAGAGATGAAGGTGCGTCCCGTGATCACAAGCCCTGCCCCGTATCCCCCCGTGACCCCCAGCTCCACTGCCCCCGTGACGTCCTGTCCCCTCCCGTTGTAGCTGGAGGAGCAGAGTGACCAGCTGGAGAAGCTCAAGAGGGAGCTAGAGGCCAAGGCGGGAGAGCTGGTGCGGGCGCAGGCGGCCCTGAGCCACGCGGAGCAGGTGTGGGCCCTCCCAGGCCGGGCTGCCACGGAGCGGGGTGTGGTTCAGAGAGGCTGGCCCTGGTCTTGGGGTGTGGCTCTGACTCAGCCCCGGGGTTACACAGGGCACAGGACCCGCTCCTGGGTCCTCAGCCACCCTTCAGTCTCCTGAAGATTTGGGTGGGGATGGGGGCGGGCGGGGCCTCCGGAAGCCCTGCTCACCAGCCAGGTGTTCACAGAGCGGGTCGGAGCTGAGCTCGAGGCTGGATGCGCTGAGTGCTGAGAAGGACACACTGAGCAGCGTCGTGCGGCAGCGGCAGGCTGAGCTGGTGGCCGCCCAGAGCCTGGTGCGGGAGAAGGAGGCGGCGCTGGACCGGGAGCAGCAGCGCAGCTCCAGGGAGAGGGGCGAGCTGCAGGGGCGGCTGGCAGACAAGGTGCGGGCGGGCCTGCGCCGTCCTGCCGCGCGCTCTCACCCTGTGTAACAGCTGAATTGGGGCAGAATTCCCTTTTATCACGAGCTGCACACCCCACGCTCCGCTCCTGAGGGAGCAGCCCAGGCGCAGGGGGTGCAGCAGGGCCTCTCGCTAAAGCTCCCTCCCCAGCGAGGGTCTCTGCTGGGGCCTGGCTGGCTCACCCCTGCCTCGCCCTCTCCCGCCAGGAGTCTCAGGAGCAGGGGCTGCAGCGCAGGCTGCTGGATGAGCAGTTCGCCATGCTGCGGGGCACCGCTGCCGAGGCCGAGCGCATCCTGCAGGACGCCGTGGGCAAGCTGGACGATCCCCTGCACCTGCGCTGCACCAGCTCTCCGGGTAGGGCCACGGCGGCAGGCGCTCGGGCATCGCTCTTCCCTACTTCCCACCCACCCTGAGGAAGGCGGGCAGGAGGGCGCCGGGGCCTCAGGCCAGGCTCTGCCCCTCACCGTTTCTCCCTGTGCTGGCAGACTACCTGGTGAACAGGGCCCAGGCTGCCCTGGATGCTGTGAGCACCCTGGAGAAGGGCCATGCCCAGTACCTGATCTCCAGGGCAGGTGAGTGCAGCCGGGGCGGGCCTGGGCAGGGCAGAGGCCGCCAGCGGTGGTGACCTGGGCCCACGGGCCATTGCCGCCTCCTGCTTTCGGGGCGGTTTCCTACCACAGGCGCCTCTCCAGGCAGCCCCAGCCCGGTTCCAGAGATCAGCCCTTCGGGCCAGGGGTCACAGAGACCCGGGGGTGGTTCCTGCGATGCTGCTTTCCACCTGTGTGACCTTGGCCCGGCCCCCTCCCACCGAGAGCTGGGGTACTGGAGCCTGTGTGGGCTTGCCAGGCAGGAGAGGCACCACCAGGACCTGTTCCAGCGCAGCAGCGTTGAGGGTTGTTGTCCTTCCTGCACAGATGCCTCTGCTCTTGTGGCAGCCCTGACCCGGTTCTCGCACCTGGCCGCGGACACCATCGTCCACGGCAGTGCCACCTCCCACCTGGCCCCCACTGACCCTGCTGACCGTGAGTGTGCCCTGGGCTTGTCACACGAGCTCCTCACCGTGGACCCGGGAAAGGGGGGTGGCTGGCGACAGGTCCTGGCGTCAGACCCGGCTGGGGTCTCCCGGGCTTCTCAGCGCCGGCTCCCCTCAGCCCTCTCCCCCGCACCCCAGGCCTGATCGACACCTGCAGGGAGTGTGGAGTCCGGGCTCTGGAGCTCGTGAGGCAGCTGCAGGATCAGCAGGCTCTGCTGCAGGCCCAGCCAGGCCTGGTGCAGACCCCCCTGCAGGGCATCCTTCAGCTGGGCCAGGTGAGGTGTGCAGCCGGGAGGCTGAGCATGGGTCAGGGTCTGGAGCGGGGGCGGTGGGGCTAGGCTGGGGTCCCCAGCTTCTCTGCACCTCCTTCCAGTTTGGGCTGAATAGGTGCTCCCCTGTAGAATGTGTAGCTGTGGGACACGGGGTGGGTACAGAGCACCACCCTCGAGGGCCCGGCGGCCCCAGTCTCGCTCCCAGGCTCTGGGGTGGCAGGAGGTGGAATCCACCTCCTCTGACTCCTGGATTCCCTCATCCCCCAGGAGCTGAAGCCCAAGAGCCTGGACGTGCGTCAGGAGGAGCTCGGGGCTGTGGTGGACAAGGAGATGGCGGCCACGTCTGCGGCTATCGAAGATGCGGTGCGGAGGATCGAGGTGAGGACCAGGGTGCAGGAGCCCCGGGGGCGCTGGGCTGAGTGAGGGCTGCACCCCCTTCCTCCCTCAGCCTCCGTGCGACGGCCAGACGGCCTCTGTAGGTCAGAGGTGGGAGGGTGGGTGGGGGCCCTGGCGTTCGGGCCCTGGGCCTCACCTCCCTGGCTCCGCGGCTGATCCCGGGCCTGGTCCAGTGCGGGTGTCCCCTTTCCTCGCATGCTGCCCTCCTCCCCACCCACTCAAAGCTCTGCCATCGGGTGTAGGACGTGATGAACCAGGCCCGCCATGCCAGCTCTGGGGTGAAGCTGGAGGTGAATGAGAGGTAAGACCTACTTCTGCCCGCCAGTCGCCCCAGGGCGGGTTCCCCAGTTTTTCCAGATTGGGGGAGGGGCTTCTGCCCTCCTGACTGCTTAGCTCTCCAGAAAGAAGGCCTGGGAACTGCAGAGCACGCCCGACCCTGTGGGCCCAACCTGCCGCGCACCGTGACGCCCCCGGGGCTCCTGGGGCCGCACTGCAGCTCCTTTTCTCTCTTTTCCTCATCCTTCTGCTCCTCTCAGGATCCTCAACTCCTGCACAGACCTGATGAAGGTGAGGGGCTGGCTGGGACCCAGGGCAGGCCCTGTGCCTGGCCGGGCCCCCGAGAATGACACACGTCTTGGTCTTGGCAGGCCATCCGGCTCCTGGTGACAACATCCACGAGCCTGCAGCAGGAGATCGTGGAGAGCGGCAGGGTGAGCTGGGCCGCTGGGCCCATCCCTAGTGGGCAGGCCGCACAGCTAGGCCATCGAGGGACAGGTTCCTGAAAGGGACCTGACTCCAGAGCCCTCTCTGTCGCGGATCACCCGCCCTGTGGCTTAAGCCGACCACGGGACTCCTCTCGGGCACAAGACGCCTGAGTGTGCAGAGTGTTGATGGGCCCACCCCGTGCATGCAGCGTACCTGGGAATCCCAGACCAATCCTCCACGGCCCAGGGATGCGCCCTTGTGACCGGGGTGAGGGGAGGAGGGCCCACGCACGGGGATCTGTTGCCACCTGGGACGTCCTTGACTGG